CTTCTATGTTAAAAAGGTTTTAGAGAGACTACAGTAAGCAGAATTATAAGTAGAGATTAGAAAAAGTAAATTTTATGTTACTTAAATAAAGTATCTTAGCTATAGACTTTTAAATAAAGGACTAGAGGTTAACCTATAGAAAGTAGAGGTGCTACGCAACTAGTAAGCGCCTACTACTATAATAAGTATAAAATCTTTCTTAGGCTTTACTAGATTCTATTAATAATTTATTCTAAAAAAAATTTATATAGTAAAACTAATTATTACGCTTTAAAGTCTTACCACCTCTTTTATTTAGACTTTAAAGTGTAATATAGCTTTTAAAAAACTAAAGTCTACGCTACTAAGCATACCTATACTTTACTATTTTAACTTTATGTTGTAAACTAAAATTAAAACTAACACTTTTAATAAAGTAGAAGTAGAAGTCTTATCTTAGGAACATGCTAATAGAAATTAGTGCCCTATTTTGTTCTATAGCAAAGTCTTATCTAGTTTAGAGCTAAACTAGGAAATACATAATAAAAAGCTATTTATAATTATAATAGCATTTAAATAATAAAAGGCTAAGCTTATATTAGCAACAATAAGCACTTTAGTATATAGTAATTATTAGTTATTAGAGTACTTTATAATAATAAAGGTGCTAAATGCTTATTAGATCTGTTAAGCTAAAAAGTTAGCTTAGTATTACTTCTAAATTAAGTACACCTCTAGTAAGAACAACACTAGGGCAGACATCCTTAGCTGTTATAAACAAGATGTAGAAAATTTAAAAGCAGCTTAAACTAATAACTAGTTAAGAGTTCTACTTAAACTACACTAACTTTACTTTTAAATTAATAAAAAATTAGCCTAGTACTATATTACTTAAATAACAACTTAAGCAACCTTACTAAATATTATAAAAGAACTAGACTAGGTTATGTCTTTAAATTTTTTAAAATTAATTAATATATTACTTTAAAAAAATTAACCTTTTTTTACGTAAAAGTAAAAACTCTTACTTTACTATTATTAGATAGGAAATAGACTACTTCTTTATACTAACTATTTATGTGTTCTAGTAGACTTACTGCTGTGTACCTAACTTATTTAAGAAGTCTATAATTAAGTATCTTTAGCACACCCTAGTGCTACTAAGACTTATTAATTACTGTTCTAAAAGTACTACTAGAAGAGTATAGAGGCTACTTATAAATAATATGTACAGAATTACCTTCTTTATTATAAAGCTTATCTAAAATAAGCCTAAACTCTAAGGTTTATCTACTCTTTTTTAATCCTTAATTAACTAATGCAGCACTTATGTATTAACTTTAAAATTTTTTTTAAAAATAAGTCTAGTTATAACTAGATTATAGTTATAATTAATTATATATCTAAATAAGCTCTTTTTATTCTCTGCTATAAAATAATTAACGCTTAAAAATAGCTGCCTTATTTATTTAATAAGTGTACTATTTTAGCTACACACCTAAAACTATTATCTTTAACTAGAGACCTTAGTTTATATCTAGTTTCTAGTCTAAATTTTATTAAATTTTAAGTGTAAAAGTTAAGCTTTTTACTACCTATTATAAGAAAATAGATAGCTAAATAGAGATTATAAATAAGTATATTAATTAAAGACTAAGGTCTTTTATATTTTTTTACAAAGATAACTGTAACGATCCTCATGAATTGTTCCATCTTGGATGGCCTGGAAGGCCCCTGTATCGGCCCTGACCTCGACCTGGCCCTGACTATGCCCTGCCCCCTGCTGTACCCCTATTCCTTTATGTATTTAGTCGCACCTTGCCTCTGTAGCTAGCTTGGTAGTTTTCTAATATCCTACGTACAAGGCCTATAGGTGTTATTAGTATTCCTAGGTCTCTAAGTCCCCACGCACTCCCATATGCCTCTAAGTGGATTCATACCGCATTCAGACCTATTGTCTTGCCTGCGCTGTTATATTATATTAGAAAACTTGCTTTTGCTAGTAACAGCCTTATTAATAATATTGCATTAATTGTCTGTTTAACTACGTCTAAGCCTAAGACATGTCTAATTTAGTTTAGGTTGTAATCTTCTACACTGTTACATTAAATCACTTAGTCTATAGACTAGATTCTATTAACCTTTAGTTAACTAAAGCCTTTAGGTTTAGAACTTCCTATCCCCTGTAATTAGAATTGCCTTTAGAAAAGTTGTAAAAAGGCGCTAAGGTAGAAACTTAGAGACTACTAATAACTTATTAGAATTAGAGATAACTGCTAATGTCTAACTAACTACTACTCTTTAATTCTAGAATTAAATTACGCTCTAGCTAAGGCAAGCCCCCTAGAGTTAATTAACAATCTATGTTAACAGCTAAACCCGCTCCTGCAGCACCTAAAGCTATACTTCTACCTAATTTAGAGTTAACCTCTAGCAGTATATCTATTAATAATTAGATTACTTAATTATAAGCACAGCTTAAGCAGCTAATCTAGCTAAGAACTGCTAGTTAACCCCTGCTAACTACTAAATTACCCCTAATAACGCCCTGTACTACTCTTGCTACCCTAAGTGCAAGAGACCTTTTAGGCACCCCTTAGACCTAGCAAATCCACCTTACTAAACGCACGCCTAAGATTAGGATCTTTATAGACAGCAAAGAACCTACGTTTAAATAATAGCAAGCCTTTATTACAGACAGACTTAACATTAATTTAGATTACTATTAGAGTAAGCGTGCACGCATGGCATTGATATAGGGACACATAGCTGGTATCGCGAAGGATTATCTAGAGCTAGGATACCTAGCTAAATTAGACTAGTTTTGGTTTAAGAGTGCAGAGGGTATAATAAAGCTCTTACAAGCTTATTTTATTACTAGTTAGGAGGAGACTAAGGCACAGTAAGCGTTCTAGACTCTTAGGATAGATAAAGAGAAAGCTTTTCCTGCATTTAAAGCGCGCTTTATTAGTGCAGCTATTAAGGGAAGAGTATTCTAGTTAGATTAGTCTTTCTACCTATAAGAGAAGCTTCCTTCTAGCCTGCAGGTACTAAATTATAGTTTTAAACAAACCTAGGCAAACTCCTTTAAAGCTATAGTAGCCCACCTCACAGCGTACAATCTAGAAAGAAGGACCTATAGGAAAGACCTTATTATCCTATCTAAATTAGCTCTGATTAACGAACCACACCTGCTACCCTAATAATTAATAACTGCATGCGTAGCGTTTAGTTTAGAGGACACTGCTGGCAGTGCGAAGGAATACTTAGCAAGGACACCTAGCTGAATTGGACTAGTTTTGGTTTAAGGAGGCAGAGGACATGACAGCGATACTTGGTACTATGATTACTACTGATAGGGACTATTAGTCTACAGAGGGGGGGGTAGTGTAACGATCCTCATGAATCGTTCCATCTTAGATGGCCTGGAAGGCCCCTGTATCGGCCCCGACCTCGACCTGGCCCCGACTATGCCCTGCCCCCTGCTGTACCCCTATTCCTTCATGTATTTAGTCGCACCTCGCCCCTGTAGCTAGCTCGGTAGTTTTCTAATATCCTACGTACAAGGCCTATAGGTGTTATTGGTATTCCTAGGTCTCTAAGTCCCCACGCACTTCTATATGCCTCTAAGTGGATTTATACCGCATTTAGACCTATTGTCTTGCCTGCGCTGTTACAATAACTAGAGTTTCTTACTACTTCTAATTTATTAGGCTTAGATAACCTTACTTTATGTAATAATTAAAATGTTTTTATATTAAGTTCTATATAGCTCTAAACTATGTTAAAGCTAGAACTAGAAACATTCTACAGAACTTATTACAGCTATAGATAAGCTAAATTATAAGGGTGCTTTAGCATTAGCAACCTACATGCACACAGCCTAGAATTAGATGTAAACTGTAGTTAACTACTACTACTAGCTAGTTAACTAAAAGGTTAGTAACATAGTCTACTTAGAAACTAAAAACCTAGCTATTTAAAGACCTAGCTAAAAACTATCTAAATAATAAAAAAGCGTCTTAAAAGTACTTAAATAAGTTAAAAACTTATACTGCCTAGAGCTACTTTTAAGGTTAAAGATACATAACATTTTTGCACTAAATATGCTTTATAAAAACTCTTAAAATCTACTTTTAAAATAAGAACTTTTAAAACCCCCTAGAATTACTATTAATAGAGTAAAGAAGTAAAAAGTAGAGAAAATACTTACTAGTAAGCTCTACTAGAAAATGCTTAAGTACTAGGTAAAATAAGTAAGACATAACTTTAATCTAGTCTAGTATAAGGCTTTAAATTTTATAAGTTTTTTTTATAAACTAAAAGCTTTTTATAATAAGCATCTAAATTAGCTAAAACCTTTAAAAGCTATTTGTAAGTAGATTAAGGCTTTTAAAGCTAGTATAAAAGGTATAAATTACTTAGCAAATAATAAGGTATAAAAGTAAAAAGTAAATTTATAGTTATATATAATAGTATTATAACTTTATAGACATTGCGCTAGGAAGGTCTAACAGTAAGCTGTTAGACACCTCTAGACTCTTCTCTTTCTCCTCCTCTGCCTTTCTTCCTCTTCTCCCTCCTCTCTAGACGCTTTTTAAACCCCCTCTGCCTTATCCTTAGCTGCCTAAAAGTGCTGCAATGTTTACTTAAAAGTTAAACACTAGAGCTTCTAAGGCTAAAACTTAATAAAGCAGCTTAGTATTCTAGTAGAATAAAGCCACCTAGACGCTAGCTATAGAAAGACTAGCTTCTTAACTCTGTATAACTTATGCTACTTACGCTAAGTTCTAAGCAAACTTTAAAATAGCTTTAAAAGCCTCTTTTCTATCTTCCTTACTTCTTGCGTTTTAGGCTGCTGCCTATAGCTTAAAATAGCTTTAAAGGACTAGAAGTTTTTTTTATAATATAAGAAAACCTACACGCGTGTTAGTAAACTATACCTTAGCAGTATTAGACTATATTTATATAAAGTTACATTTTTTATTATATAAAGTGTCTAAACGTTAATCAAAGGTGTATTAATCCAACTCTGTGTAGATATTAATAGTATATCCACGGCGACATTTGTATAGCTGATTCAGCGGCTTAGCGAGATTTTTGCTAGCAGGGGGGACCGTGCGCTCATCAACTTCTAGTATCCACCCATGTCCATTGCCCACCCTCTATAGGCGATATCTACGCCGCTACATGTAGAAATAGCCTGATTTTTAGTCTTATAATAGCTGCTAGGCTGCTCTAGCTTTAAAGCGCTGCAGAGCTGCATTATAATTGCTATTACATTGCTAGGAACGCACTGTATGGCTGCTAGGTACCTCTCTATAAATGTTACAGTGTGACAGAAGAAAGTATACTGTGCTTGCACAGTATCCTAATAATGCAGCAAATTGCAGAATAATGCAGCAAATTGCAAAAAGACGCAGCAAATTGCAGAATAATGCAGTAAATTGCAAAAAGACGCAGTAAATTACAAAACAATGCAGTAAATTATAACAAAAAGTAGTAAATTACAAAATAATATAGCAAATTATAAAAAGACGCAGTAAATTGCAGAACAATGTAGTAAATTACAACAAGACGCAGCATATTGCAGAATAATGCAGCAAATTGCAACAAGACGCAGTAAATTGTAGAATAATATAGCAAATTGCAAAAAGACACAGTAAATTGCAGAATAATGCAGTAAATTATAAAATAATGCAGTAAATTACAAAAAAACACAGTAAATTGCAGAACAATACAGTAAATTGCAACAAGACGCAGCATATTGCAGAACAATACAGTAAATTACAACAAGACGCAGCAAATTACAGAATAATGTAGAATAAAATCTCTACTTAGCAGCTATAACTATCTAAACACTAATTAATTAACTTTTATAACAATAACTATATATAATACTAGGACTATAAAACTAGGGGTGATTGCTCCCCTTCTAAGTAACTCTAAAATGCTTGCAGAGCTAGTCTAGCAAGACCCTCTGCTGCTGCTGCTGCTAGCTTACCTGCCACATAGCCGCCTCCTTGCTAGTCCTCTGCGCCTACATAATGCGCTTAATCTTCTTAATAACCTTAAGCTGCAAAGAGTACTACTGCAGCTTACTTTAACAACTTAACCTCTACTTATTCCTCTAGCGCCTGTCTAGCTTAGTAATAAAAAGCTAGCCCTAAAGGCCTACTGTCTATTTGCGCTAGAGGTCCTCTACAGTCCTCACAGCGCGGCACATGCGATGCTTTAGTGCAGGCTCTAGCTTAGGCGCCAGCTTAAGCGCTGCTGGCAGAGGCGATAGGCTAGGCGAGCGCGCAGACGGCGTAGGGGCGATGCTGGCCTGGGCAGAGGTATACCTGCTTGAATCTACGTCTGCCAGCGACAGCGGCGCAGCTGCTGTGTGCCTGAGTGGAGGTGGTGGCAGCAGCAGACCGCCCTGCGCCTGCGACGCCTCTAGGCAGAACATAAGGCTGCCAGACGTGAGCACCTGCAGCTGCTAAGACTGTAATCTCTGCAGCTTACACAGGTAATTAAGCTCCTTCTTAAGCTCCCTTGCCTACTACTTGTTCTAGGCATCTAGCGCTTAGAGCTAGTTAGCAAGCAGGGGTATCGCCTAGTATAGGACTAACAGCTGACTAGGAGCTGCCTCTGCGTTAAGAGACGCGTTAATGTCCTAAGCAAAGGCAGCGTACGCCCTGTGCTAGAACACTAGGTGGTTCCACACAGGGTGGCTAGGGAAGCGCCAGCGCAGCGTAACTAAGTCCTAGAGGATCACCTCTCTAAGGTAGAGCAGTAGGCTTATAAGGCCCCCTATAGCTAAGTTGTTAATCTAGCTAGCGTGTAGGCTAAAGCAGCCCTTCTACACATTAAGCTTTAGCTAGATAAGAGACAGAAGCTTGTCTAAAGGTGCAACAGCTGCATAAGGGATCTTAAAGCAGCCTATCTGCAGCAGATAGCTAGCTATAGACCTTATAAACTTCTACAGCAGTAAGTTAAGGTAGTAGCTAACTATTTACTTCTAATTCTACTTACTTGCTTACTAAATCTAATTCTTACTAACCTCTTTAAGCTCTACTAGCTTAGCTGCTATACTATGTAGAAGGTAAGTCTTCTTCTAAAATAAGATCCTAGCGTAACTGTACACCTTTGCGACCTAGTTGCGCTAGGAGTTGTAGGAGAAGGCTGCTGTATAATTGCCTGTGCTAGCCTTAATTAGCTGTATATAGTACTAGGCTAAGCGCTTACTAAAGTTAGGAAAGGGCTTGTTGTCTAGGTCCTAGCAATAGAGCAGGTAGAAGGCTAGGCTGCTGAGCATGCAGAGGATTAGCTTCCTGTGCTGCAGCGCGCCTATTGTCTTAAGCCAGCCATGCTAGTTCTGCTTGCTTGCGCGGGTGGTGAATATTAGGGGCATGCAGCGCGTAGGGCCCTCCCTCTTAAACTTAAAGGTGAACAGGTCTAAGATCTCTGCAGAACAGCGGTCGCCTCCGCGCGTGAGCATGTAGTGGCCCAGCATGAGATCGACTAGCGTACGGAAGTGACACTCTACTGTTGCTGAGGACAAGCTCGCGTCTGCGCTATGTGTCCACAGCTTACTACAGAGCTGCTTAAACTTATCCTTAGTGTAGCTGTTAAGCAGCGTGTTTCTGCTCTTATTAGCGTACTGCTCTTAATCTTACTAGGCATCCCTGCGCTGCAGAGACCTAAGGTACTCCTTTACGCTGTCCACGCGTAGTAATAGGTGGCTGTTTATGCCCAGCGCCTTCTACTCTTGCTAGAGGTTAGTAATAGCTGTAATATAGGCGCAAACTAAGCGCTAGGCAAAATGTGTTTTATCTTAGAGGATGTTACTCTCTACTTTATAAGACCTAGTTCTTAAGGGCTAGTTTATAACCTTTTTAACTAGAAAAAGCAGCAGCTTCTTTTTTATAATAGTGCTACTGTTATAGTACTACTTCCTCTTGCAGAACGCCTAGACGCGGAGTTAGCATAGACACAGACACATAGATAGGCAGGCAGGTAGGCAAAAATACTACCTTAAATTCCTCCTGCTTTAGACTATAGACCTAGTGCGTATTCTCTAGCTGCTGCTTATAAATTATAGCTAGGATATAGTGCGCATTAGCGCGCAGCTTAGTGTTGTTTGCAATGTTAACGTCTGCGCGCTCGCAACGCGCTCTGCGCTGTAGACCCATACTCGCGCCCCTGAGTAAGTGTGTACAGTGAGGGAGGATATATACAGCAGCAAGCAGCGCACGCTGAAGCTTGGGCTCGGGATGAAGGTAAGGGCAGGGCCTGGCCTGCCCTAGGGCCTCTCCATCCATCCATATATATATATATATATGTGTGTGTGTGACGAGTCAATTCAGTACAGGAGCCATCAGCGGCGGGCTCAGCAGGCGGCCGGTGCATTAGGAGATGTCCACCGCACGGGCGCGAGAGCCGGGGGTGGAGATCCGCAGACGCCCGCAGGAGGCGATTGGTCGAGAGGCGAGACAGCGACTCAGCCAAGGCTCAGTGCGGCCTCGAATACCACGTGAGCTTATCTCACGTGATATCTGTGCAGGCTTGGCAGGGGGCTAGTATAAAACCAGCTATCCTAACGTACTTAGGATAGCAGCTGTTACTAGAATTAATACATTGTGTTACCTGCTCACCTCTTAGTACGCCCCTTAGGCGTATGTTTGTTTAATTAAACCTAGGTTAACTAACACTAATTAGTCTATTAACAGACTATTTACTGCGTGCGTAGCCACGCAGAGGATATTGTCCTTAACAGACAGATTTGCAAGGATTAATAAAACTGCCACTGTACAAACAGCTCACTCCCACCGCGTGCGTAGCCACGCAGAGAGGGCTTAGACGCTCACACCCACCGCGTGCGTAGCCACGCAGAGAGGGCGTGAACAAGCATTGTGCGCGCCCCTAGATTAACTAATTGCACAAAGACAAGATTAGCAACCTGCTGCGTGCGTAGCCACGCAGAGAGGGCTCACTACTAAGCCTTTGTGCGCCCTAGAGCCTCCTGTTAATACAGGCTGTGCGACCACTCGCCTACCGCGTGCGTAGCCACGCAGAGGAGACAATACAGGCCGCATAATCAGAAACCTACTGCGTGCGTAGCCACACAGAGGAGGCTCCTTATTAGTAGCCCGCCTTGTTAACACCCCCTTAATTAATTACCTACATAAGAGGTAATTAATTAGTTAACATCTATTGCACGTACAAAAGCCTGTGGTATTCGAGGCCGCACTGAGCCTTGGCTGAGTCGCTGTCTCGCCTCTCGACCAATCGCCTCCTGCGGGCGTCTGCGGATCTCCACCCCCGGCTCTCGCGCCTGTGCGGTGGACATCTCCTAATGCACCGGCCGCCTGCTGAGCCCGCCGCTGATGGCTCCTGTACTAAATTGACTTGTCACACACACACATATATATATATATATATAGATGGATGGAGAGGCCCTAGGGCAGGCTAGGCCCTGCCCTTACCTTCATCCTAAGCCTAAGCTTCAGCGTGCGCTGCTTGCTGCTGTATATATCCTCCCTCACTGTACACACTCACTCAGGGGCGCGAGCATGGGTCTACAGCGCAGAGCGCGTTGCAAGCGCGCAAACGTTAACATCACAAACAACACTAAGCTGCGCGCTAATGCGCACTATATCCTAGCTACAATTTGCAAGCAGCAGCTAGAGAATACGCACTAGGTCTATAGTCTAAAGCAGGAGGAATTTAAGGTAGTATTCTTACCTGCCTGCCTGCCTATCTATGTGTCTGTGTCTATGCTAACTCCGCGTCTAGGCGTTCTGCAAGAGGAAGCAGTACTATAACAGTAGCACTGTTATAAAGGAGAAGCTGCTACTTTTTCTAGTTAAAAAGGTTATAAACTAGCCCTTAAAAACTAGGTCTTATAAGGTAAAAAGTAACATCCCTTAAGATAAGACATGTCTTGCCTAGCGCTTAGTTTACACTTACATTACAGCTATTACTAACTTCTAGTAAGAGCAGAAGGCGCTGGGCATAAACAGCTACCTATTACTACGCGTAGACAGTGTAAGGGAGTACCTTAGGTCTCTGCAGCGTAGGGATGCCTAGCAAGATTAAGAGCAGTACGCTAACAAGGGTAGAGACACGCTGCTTAACAGCTACACTAAGGGCAAGTTTAAGCAGCTCTGTAGCAAGCTGTGGACATATAGCGCAGACGCAAGCTTGTCCTTAGCAACAGTAGAGTGTCACTTCCGTACGCTAGTCGATCTCATGCTGGGCCACTACATGCTCACGCGCGGAGGCGACCGCTGTTCTGCAGAGATCTTAGACCTGTTCACCTTTGAGTTTAAGAGGGAGGGCCCTACGCGCTGCATGCCCCTAATATTCACCACCCGCGCAAGCAACACACCTGAGATTAATCAATCAAGCAAGCTGGCAGTTTCTGGCTTGATTAATTGCGTTTTAGTATAAGGTTTAGCTAGATTAATTAAATTAGCTTAGCAGAAAGTTGCTAGCTTAATTAGTAGCTTAGGTGCTTAATTCTTAAATAGAAAAGTTGTATATATTTTTTAGTGTTAAGTCTTAGCTGTTGTCCTATGTATCTAGATTGTTGTCTTTGCCTACCCACTTACTAAGCTTGTACAAAACGTCCATCTGCTTGTTAGTAAGCTTTAATTAGCCTATATTGTTGTTATTGCTGCTACTAAAACTAGCCTGTCTCTATTATTGTACTAAGTGTAGTGCTGCAAGTAGCTTAGGTAATATACAGTGTTAGTAAAGCTCTAGTAGATCTCTAAGCTTACTAAAGACGCGCTCACACTTACAGCTTAAAGCTAGTATAGAGAGTATTATAAGCAGTATCTTACTAAGGTTAGGATATTAATCGCGCAGCCTAAACTAGTATTATATAGGATTAGTGCCTTTGCTAATAATTAGCTTACGCTTCTACTGCTTATACTTATCCTTTTTAGTATTACCACATGTAGGATTAATAATGCTATTAATTATATTATTAATATTACTTAGTTTCTTTAGTGCGCGTGTGTAGCAAGGCCTTAGTAACAGTAGCAACTTATAATCTACCTATAGTGCCTAGAAATTAAAATTATTAGATGCTAGCTAATTAAACTTCTTAGCCTATGCTTAATTATAGTAGTGTTTATAGTAAAGATAGAGTATTATAGCAGTATAGTAAGCTAGCAAGTTATTAAGTTTAGTGTAGTACTTGTTTACTTTAAGCAGCGCTGCGCGTAGATTAATAGGAAGATAATCTTTAGGCGCCTTATTATAAGCATTATAGACTATGCTATTATAGTAGAGGAGGCAAGCTTCTAATTAAGTAAGTAGAAACTTAAACATTAAAATTACCTTAGTAATTACGCTAAAGCTATACTTGCTATGTCTCTTAAAGTGCTTTGTACACTCTTTAAGTAGCCTAAGAACCTTTATATAGTTAGTAACAATAGCCTAATTAGTAGCTATAAGGCTGTCTAATCTTATCTACTGTAAAGCAGCAGGCTAATCCTTGCCTTATAAGTTAGCGTAGATATCCTCTTTTGCTGTATTTTGTATGTAGGTGTTTACGTACGCGTTAATAGCTAGCGTAAGCTTTATAGCTTGCTTAAAACAGTTAAAGTATAAGTTCTAGCGTGTAACTACTAGCTTAATTAGCTGCAGTATTATAAGCTTATTATCTACATTATAAGGCAGCTTATAGTAAGCTGTACGCTGCGCCTTCTTAAAGAGATTGTACTGCTGCGGTGTGTAAATATAGTTAATAATATTAAAAAGTACACCTAAAGGTTTATGCTTTTGCTACTTCTTTATAAATGCTGCTTTATTAGTAAGCTTGTTAACTCTCTTGTTATTATATAAGTCTGTATCTCTGCCCTAGAGTAGTCTCTGCCTAATTAGATTAATTATATAAGGGCTATAGCAAAGGTGTTAGCAAATAAGATTAAATTTAAGCTTATAAGCAATTATAGCAACAGTAGTGTTATTATTAAAAGCATTATTAAAGACAAAGTAACTAAGTGTGCGCTTACTTATGCTAAACTGCTCTAATATTAATAATACAACCTTAGCTAGTTAATTGCTAGTGTAAGCGCCTGTAAGCTAAGGCAGCGCAATAGGTAGGTCTTAGAGCTTGCCATCTAAGTTAATGTAGTAGGCGACAATACTAAGGAACCTGCGCTTACCAGCTTTTATTGTCTATCTGTTAAAGCTTATATAGATCCTACTAAGCAATTATAACAGCTTATAAACAACATAGGGCCTAAGCTAGTTAAACAGTTATATAACATATTAGAAGACGCTCTTGTAGTTCTTCTACAGCGCTGCTTTAGCAAGCAGGTTAGCAATAGTAATTAAGTGTTAAAAAGCTAGTGTTTTAAACTTAGAGATAGAGTAGTTATTTACAACAAGCTAGTTAACTATAGCAAACCTAAAGCGCTGCTTACTAAAGCTGTTAATCTAATTAGCTACTACCTGTAAGATAGGGACTCTTGCAGTAATAAGCGTGTTATAAACACTAGTAATTAGAGTCTTGCCTAGTGCTGCAAGCTTATGGCTAGGCTTCTGCTTGCTAAGGTAGCGCGCGGCTGACAAGACTGCTACGCTTGTATTGTATATCCTAATACTAATATCTGTGAGCTTGTGCTTAAAACACTAGTGGCAGATAAAGAATATATAGGTTAGATCTTTAAGAAGAGCAACGCGATAGCTGTAGCAATAGATCTAACTTTGCTTATGTTAGTGCGTCGTGATAGGCTTCATATACAGCTTAAGACAATCCTAATCTATGCTATTATACAGTACTAGGACAAAAGTCTGTTCCAGGCAGCATTTAGCAAGCCCCACTAAACATCTGCCCCCTCTATTCAATCAATCATATAGCCACCCTAAATAGTCACATAAGCATAATTAATAGCTTATTTTAATTGCATTATCCTAATACTTTGTCTAGTAGCTATGCGCTTGTCGCAGAGCCTGTAGACAGCGCAGTATTAAAAAGATAAGCTTCTTAATTAAAGAATTAGGTATTTTCTACTACACCTCCTTTAATGCTGCACAGAACTAATCCCACTCCTCTGTAGAGTCGCCTATTATAGCTATTTTAAGGTGCAGCCTATAAAGTGTCCTTTTTAGCGCCTACTACATATGTTTAATAGGGTTAAGGTTTAGAGAGTAGGGGGGGAAATTAATAACATTAATATAGTGCCTCTGCAACTATTCGCGCGTTGCTCTTGCTGTGTGTATGCGCGCATTATCCTGCTAGAATAGATCTCCTCTTTAGTAGTTACGCAGGAGACCTTCCTTAAGCGCTTAGATGTAGCTCTTAGCTGAGTAGCTATGGTGGGGAGCAGCAGGGTCTCTCTTTATAATTACAAGGGGGCTCTAACGTACCCTCTATCTGCAATTAATCTAGATAGACGCCCACACTATCTGCGCAGGCTGCTAAGCTATAGAACGCTCCTTTATTATCTTATACCTCTACTTCTCTGTAGAATAGCAAAAGCACTACTTCTAGTTAGTACTAGAGCCTTTTTTAATAGAGCACTTATTAAAAAAGCGCATTATCTGTCTCTTCTAGTTAAAGCGCTGCCATGCTCTATCCCACGCGCGCCTCCTGCCTGCTGTGGCGCGGTTAATCTTAGGTCTGCGCTTACAGTAAAAGTTAGTAAGATTAAACTTCTTAAGCGTATAATAGGCAGTCTTAGTAGATATGCGTAGCGTAAGGCTAGTCTCTTTAAGCAGTGTTTTGTACTCTATTTTTAGATATTTTTAAGCTGTTTAAAATAGCAGGCGCTTAGTACAACGCAATAGCTTAGAGGGGCGTCTAGATTAATAGCGTGAAAGATTGCAGCCAGTTGCTTTCCAGCGCGCAATTATAGTGTTAATGCAGCGCGTCATGCAGGAGAATTCCTCTGCCAGTTCTGCAGCAGAAACGCCAGCCTCAGACTTTAAAATAATTAACTCCTGCTGCTGCACTAATAACTTAGCATTCTAGCAACAATTATGTGAAATTTCCTTGCCAAAAGACCTTATGGTGGCTGCGCAATTAATAGTAGAAAGATGGTGTTGTGTTTGTCGCGTTTTTCGGTTACGCGTTGCGGGAACAGACTTTTGTCTTGGCACTGTAATTGTCTTTAAGATAGGCGTTAAAAGCCTTATCTACAGCGTTGTTAGCTGCTTTAGAAGACAGAGCAAGCGTAGCTTGCTTACTGCCCTTAGCAGGCGCGACAATAGCGTCTTTAGGCTGCAACTCGCGCAATCGCGACTTAAAAGTATGTGTATATAAAGGCGGCAGAGATAGGGCAGATAGCTAAGATTAAGATAATAGTAAGTTAATTGCAATAGGCTAGCTCACAGTGCCGCGCACGCGCTTTTTGGGCGAGGGAGCGCTATCGGAGATACGTTTCTTGGGCGGCATGAGGGCGACGATGGGGTGAGGTATACAGCGATAGATCTGCAACACCAGAAGTATATAGCATTGTGGGTGATAGATGGAGATAGAGTATACGATATAAGACAACGCGCTAGCTGCTAGTCACACAGAGTTATTAGATATTACACAATACTACACAGTAAACAACACTAAAAAAAGTTTAGTATAGAGCTTTTACAGCTATCTAAGCTGCCTTATAGGCTGCCTTATCTCTAAAATCTACTATATACTTAAGGCAATTAAGCTATTAATCTAAATTAAGCTTATAGAAAAGCTTAGCTAGATTAATTGCGTTTCTATATAAGGTTTAGCTGGATTAATTAAATTAGCTTGGCATCAATCTTCTAATCAAGCTATCAAGCTGGCTTAATTAATCTCAGGTGTGGCAAGCAAGCAGAACCAGCATAGCTGGCTTAAGACAATAGGCGCGCTGCGGCACAGGAAGCTAATCCTCTGCATGCTTAGCAGCCTAGCCTTCTACCTGCTCTATTGCTAGGACCTAGACAACAAGCCCTTTTCTAACTTTAGTAAGCGCTTAGCCTAGTACTGCATACAGCTAATTAAGGCCAGCACAGGCAATTGTATAGCAGCCTGCTTCTACAACTCCTAGCGCAACTAGGTTGCAAAGGCGTACAGTTACGCTAGGATCTTATCTTAAAAGAAGACTTACCTTCTACATAGTAGAGCAGCTAAGCTAGCAGAGCTTAAAGGGGTTAGTAAAGATTAGATTTAGTAAGCAGGCAGGTAGAATTAGAAGTAAATAGTTAGCTACTACCTTAACTTACTGCTGCAAAAGTTTATAAGGTCTATAGCTAGCCATCTGCTGCAGATAGGCTGCTTTAAGATCCCTTGCGCAGCTATTGCGCCTTTAGATAAGCTCCTGTCTCTTATCTAGCTAGAGCTTAATGCGTGGAAGGGCTGCTTTAGCCTACACGCTAGCTAGATTAACAACCTAGCTGTAGGGGGCCTTATAAGCCTACTGCTCTACCTTAGAGAGGTAATCCTCTAGGACTTAGTTGCGCTGCGCTAGCGCTTCCCTAGCCACCCTGTGTGGAACCACCCAGTGTTCTAGCACAGGGCGTACGCCGCCTTTGCTTAGGACATTAACGCGTCTCTTAACGCAGAGGCAGCTCCTAGTTAGCTGTTAGTCTTATACTAGGCAATACCCCTGCTTACTAACTAGCTTTAAGCGCTAGATGCCTAGAACAAGCAGCAGGCAAGGGAGCTTAAGGAGGAGCTTAATTACCTGCGTAAGCTGCAGAGATTACAGTCTTAGCAGCTGCAGGTGCTCACGTCTGGCAGCCTTATGTTCCGCCTGGAGGCGTTGTAGGCGCAGGGCGGTCTGCTGCTGCCACTACCTCCACTTAGGCACACAGCAGCTGCGCCGCCGTTGCTGGCAGACGTAGATTTAAGCAGGTATACCTCTGCCCAGGCCAGCATCGCGCCTACGCCGTCTGCGCGCTCGCCTAGCCCATCGCCTCTGCCAGCAGCGCTTGAGCTGGCGCCTGAGCTAGAGCCTGCACCAAAGCATCGCATGTGCCGCGCTGTGAGGACTGTAGAGGACCTCTAGCGCAAATAGACAGTAGGCCTTTAGGGCTAGCCTTTTATTACTAAGCTAGACAGGCGCTAGGGGAATAAGTAAAGGTTAGGTTATTAGAGTAAGCTATAGTAGTACTCTTTACAGCTTAAGGTTATTAAGGAGATTAGGCGCATTACACAGGCGCAAAGGACTAGTAAGGAGGCAGCTATGTAGCAGGTAAGCTAGCAGCAGCAGCAGCAGAGGGTCTTACTAGACTAGCTCTGCAAGCATCTTAAAGTTGCTTAGAAGAAGAGCAATCGCCCCTAGTTTTATAGTCCTAGTATTATATATAGTTATTATTACAAAAGTTAATTAATTAGTGTTTAAATAGTTATAGCTGCTAAGTAGGGATTCTATTCTGCATTATTCTGCAATTTGCTGCGTCTTGTTGTAATTTGCTGCATTATTCTGCAATATGCTACGTCTTGTTGTAATTTACTGTATTATTCTGTAATTTGCTGCGTCTTTTTGTAATTTACTGCATTATTTTGCAATTTACTGCATTATTCTATAATTTACTGCGTCTTTTTGTAATTTACTGCATTATTTTACAATTTGCTGCGTCTTGTTGCAATTTACTGTATTATTCTGCAATATGCTACGTCTTGTTGTAATTTGCTATATTATTCTGCAATTTGCTGCGTCTTTTTATAATTTGCTGCATTATTTTGCAATTTGCTACTTCTTGTTATAATTTGCTGCATTATTCTGCAATTTACTATGTCTTTTTGTAATTTACTACATTATTCTGCAATTTGCTGCGTCTTTTTGCAATTTGCTGCATTATTCTGTAATTTACTGCATTATTAGGATACTGTGCAAGCACAGTATACTTCCTTCTGTCACACTGTAACATTTATAGAGAGGTACCTAGCAGCCATACAGTGCGTTCCCAGCAACGTAATAGCAATTATAATGCAGCTCTGCAGCGCTTTAAAGCTAGAGCAGCCTAGCAGCTATTATAAAACCAAAAATTAGGCTATTTGCACATGTAGCGGCGTAGATATCGCCCATGGAGGGTGGGCAATGGACATGGGTGGATACTAGAAGTTGATGAGCGCACAGTCCCCCCTGCGAGCAAAAATCTCGCTAAGCCGCTAAATCAGCCATACAAATGTCGCTGTGGATATACTATTGCTATTAACTGTTTTCTTGTTTTTAGGAGAGTACTGCCCCTTCTGCTCTTAGGGAAGCATTAGTGTGCACTTTTGTTTCTAGCGTAAGGTTGTACATTCTAAGGACAGGGTAGCTTATTATTATCTACTTTAGCTCTTAGAAGGCTTCCTTTATTTCTATTATCTATTAGAATTTCTAGGTTGCTCTTTCTTTTAAGGTAGCGTCTGTAAGGGGGAGGGTAATTTTTAAGTAATTTTTAATTATCCTTTGTACGTAGCTAGTAAGGCCTAGAAATCCTTTAATTTCTGTTACTATTATTAGTGTTAGCTATTCTAACACCTTAGTTACTTTACTAGAGTCTATTTTTATTTCTTCTTTATTAATAATAAATTCTAAGTACTTAGTTTTTTAAACATTAAACTTATATTTTTCTAGTTATAGGTAAAGTCTATATTATTAGAGTTAGTTAAGTATAAGTTTTACTTTAGATACATAATCTGCTTAGTTCTTTTTTATGTATATTAGAACGTTATCTAGATACACAAGTATAAATATATCTAGGTAGAAGTTAAGTACAGTGTTAATAACTTATTAGAAGGTTACTAGAGCGTTAGTTAATCTAAATAGCATAATAAAAAGTTTATATAATCCTTTTAAAGTTTAGAAGGCTATTATCTACTTATGTCCTTCTTTAATTCTTATCTTATTAAATCTGTCTTAGATATTAAACTTAGTAAAGTGCTTAGTTCCTTTAAGTTAGTTTATAATATCTTAGATAATTAGTAAGAGGTATTAGTTCTTTATTATGTTGTTATTAAGAGTTTAGTAGTTTTAACATACTTTTACCTTACTATTTTTTTTCTTTGCAAAAACTACTGCTAATGCCACTAAGCTGTTGCTTTCTCTAATGTGTTCTTAAGCTAGCATTCTGTCTATGTATTCCTGTAGAGCGTCCTTCTAGGCTTTTGTTAGGGGTTGTAGTTTATAAGTTTTTAATTATAGGTTTAGCTTAAGATTAATAGTGTAATCCTAGGGCTAGTGTAGTAGCAGTTCTTCTAGATCTTCTAGGGTTTTAAACATATTCTTATAGTCTTAATATTCCTTTAGTAGTTTATTTACTTTATAGGTTATTTAGTAAATCCTTACCTAATTAAGGTCCTGTTCTTTTTTAAATTCTTTAAAAAAGATTTTTTCTAGTTCTTCCTTTATTTAGTAGATAGCCTAGGCTTCTAGCTTCTAACAGGGGAACTTCCTTAGTCTCTTTTCTTTTTAAAAATAGTTGCTTCTTTTCTTCGCGTGTTCTAGGTTAGTTACTAGGGACATAGTTTGCTAATTAATTATTAGGTTATGCTTGTACAACTAGTTGTAGCCTAGTATTGCTTAATATTTATTCTCTAATAGCAGTATGTTAAAGGATATCTAGTTACTAGTTTCTTCTGCTTTAGTAATAAGTTTATTAGTTTTAAGCTAAATTTAGCCTACGCTGTATTTTATTAATAAGGCGTTAGCTAAAGATATTCTAAAGAGGTTCTTCTTTTTTTAAAATAGTATGTTATTCTAGTTAACCTATCTTAAGTTAATTACTATAAACGTGCATCTGCTGTCTATTAAAGCAAGTCCTGTCTATTTCTAACCTAAGTGTTAAAGAGTAAGTTTAGTTATTAGGCTTTAACTTAGGCCTTATCTAACTGTAATAAGAACGCAGAGTTTATAAGGTGTTTCTTTATAGTCTATTTTATTATCTTTCTTAACAGCTTTAGCTGCGTCTTTATATTCTATAATTTAATCTAATTACATTTTATATTCTTAATGTCCTTATATTATGCATTTAGGTACAGTGCACTAAGCGTCTTCTATCTTATAGTAGTATAGCATTTAGTTGTTCTGTTAGTGTGCTCTCTATTAGAAATAATAGAATGTACATGCTAATTTGTTGTTGCATTCTGTCTAGGGTTTTTGTTTGTGGTCTGTACTGTCCTTACAGTAGAGGCAGTGTAGCATTTTGCAGGTAGATGCTATGCTAGCTAGCGTATTAGCTTCAGGTGCGCTTCCTTGTGCTCTGTGTGGCCACTAGCTAGCCTTGTGCTTAGTTAGCTAGTGTTTAATACAGTACTTGTTACTGCACAAGTACTAGGTGTAGAGACACTCTCTAAGGTTGTTCTATACTAGTATTAGCTAGGTCTGTGTCTACCTTAAGTACTCCTTAGTCCTTATTACTTATAATAAGTAACTTTAGTAGGTATAATAAAACTTATTATGTTACTTACTTTTATAGGGGATGTAGTATCTC